CCTATGGGGATGTTTTTGCCATACACTACATTTTAGGGAAATCCATTGCAAATTATAAAATGTTGAAAAAATATACAGAGGGTAGAAAAAACGTAAAATGATAACAATATGACAAAACATTATAAATCAAGATGTCGAAAAATTGACAACTTTGTGAAGAGCCTTCATGGTGAAGTTCTTCTTTAATACCGGACTGTCTTGATCCGCTTGATCCACTTCCCTATTGGTCGATTAATAAACTGACCGATAGAAGTGGATCAAGCGGATTAAGTTCAGGTATGGCGCGTGCCTACTCGTCGATAGCTATCACGGTTTGAAACGCTGAGACTGCAAAAATCAGAATATTTCAATTTTTTTTATTGCTCTGATTTTATTGAAAGCAATGTTTTCTATGCTGGCAATCCAAAGTTTTTTTTTTCTTGTCATGGAACACTGCGCGTATTTAAGCAAATTTGACGGTAAATATCGTGTTCTGGCATTGCTGACAACATTTGCGCGTAAACGTGGCAGTGTGCTCTTCTTGGTCGCTTTTTATGCGCAAGCTGCAAGCAAATTGTGGAGATTTTTTGTCATGGCATTTATTTCCGCGCAAATGTTGTCATAACCGTAGAGGCACCGCATCAATCGTCAGATCTACCATACTATTTCTTGGGTTTATACTTCTATGAGAATTTTACAGTGGCTCGAACATGTTCTCTGATTTTGATGGTTCTGGATGTGATGAAGCCCTTGAAGCATAAACAGCTACTTGAATACGAACTGGAAGGTTTTGGAATACGTCTGAACAAGCAACCACCGAACATTGGTTTCAAGAAAAAGGACAAAGGAGGTCTTAATTTGACAGCTTTGGTAAGATTCGCTAATTTTTGGCTTACTGTCTCATTTTTCTTTCATTTTGAGTCTTTGATTTTGTTATTTTGACCTTTTTTCGAAACTGTTCTAATTTTACCTCTTTTTTATCGCGTGACATGATGGGCTATGATTATCTATGCTGTCACAAAAATCCTCT